TGAGCCAGATCTCCCATCAGATGTGTGCTCCCAGGTATGGCAGTGGGGGCTGGAATGAACAAACCCTCTCTACCTTTGTGTGAAAAGAAGTGCCTTTGATGCCCTGCAAAAATGCCCATGCAGGGCTGTCCCCATTCTGCCAGCAGCAAGGCCAGAAGGGTGGAGATGAAAATGCCATTGCTGTTGCAGTGGTTCTGTTGGCAGCAGGCTGGGACACCCGATAGGGTAACACTGAGTCACAGCAGCATATGTAATCTTGTGTTGCCACACATGATGAAGCAGGCCCAGTCCATTGTTATACTGTTGGTAATTCCAGGTACGTTTCAGCAGAACTGAGGGAGAAGGAGATAGATGCTGAGAATCACTGCAGCCTTCATCCTGAAATGGAAGTCCAAAAGAGCACAGTAATTGTTGAACAATGGCTGCAACTTTTGCTTGACTTTGCATGCATCATTTCACCTTTCTTTCTTTTAAATAATCATAACTAAATTTTTAGAAAAATATTTCTTGCACCTCTCAAAAATTCATCAACTTCTCTGACTTCTACAAAAAGAGTAAGGGGAAAGAACAAACCCCAGGCAATTCACTGCTAAGTTTCAGATTTGACATGCAGAACAACAAATTCATCCAAAATGAGTTTTGCTTTACTGTTAGTCATTTGTGCTAACCTGCAATTAAAAGACTCAGCATTTGTTCTCATCGCTTTCTGAAATTACATTTTCCACTTCCTAGGCCCTGGCCTCGGGCAGTGGATTTTTGAAGCAATCATGCCTTGGTAATTAATGTTTAAAGATGAATGTTGCAACTTTTAACACAGTGTGTTGCTGAGTAAACAACAAAAAGAATACAAAAAATACAAGGCTTTTACTGGAAGCTGCAGGTTTTGGAGGCATTATCCTTAGAGCTCCCAGCTGCAGTACATTTGGTTACCCCTTCCTCTGTGCTTGCAGATGGGGGAGACGGCCATGCTTAAAGAAAAGCAGAGGAAAATAAACACCACATTTAATCTGTCATTTCTTTGTGCTACTGACTCATCACCCCAGAAAGCTTGCTGGGAATGTTTAACTCACACAGAGAGGGAAGGAACAAATCTTTGACAAATGGTCTGTACCTGTAACATGGCCAGTGCCGTTTTTGATTTTTGCAAAAACATAGGAAGACAAGGGATGAAGTAGAAAGAGAGGAAGGGGCAAGAATGGAAGGAGGGGAGGGAAAATTGTGGTTATAAGTTCCCTTTCTATTTCATGTCACTTTGTTTGCCTTTCTCTGTAGAAGCCACATCTTCCAGTCTGTTACTAACCCAGCTGGATTTACCTGTGACAGCAGCCCATCCTACACAGGGCTTCTAAGACAGGAAAAGTGGGAAAGCACTCCTGTGATCTTGTGAGGGATTTCTGTCAAACGGGGCAGGGGGATCACACTGTACCATGGGAAGGGTGCTGTTTTTCCTACACAGAAGACTTTTGTGGTCTGGCAAAGGCCAGTGACAAAATCCTAAACAGATCAACTGGAACAAGAACAGAATACTGCTTTTGGATAGTTTTGTTTCTTTTTCTCCCCCCATCCCCTTCTTTTTTTGTCTTCCAAAAAGAGGATAAAATTCCCAATCCAACAAGCACATTAGCTAACCAAGTTTGAAGCAGGTGCTTTAGGCTTTGTTACTCTTTGATGTTCTTTCTACTCAGAAGAAACCGAAACCTAAACTTCTACTCAGAAGAAACCTCCTGGAAGAACTCCTTGTGTCTGATTCTCCATTTAAGTGGGAAAATGGAACCTCCCAAATATAATCTTGCCTTTCTGGAAATGAAGAAGACTGTAAAAAAAGATTAGTAAAAGACACATTCAGCGCTAGTCATACTCATTTGGGTAACAGGCAAGTTTCTGCCTGTGCTCACTTCTAGTAGTCATTATGAATGTGTATTAGTGACTTCCTAAGCAGTGATCACAGCAGAACAGTAAATGAAGTATTGCCTTCTGCTTCAATAATTTCCTGTTCTTTTAGCATTGTTTATCAGGATAATGATACATTAGCTGGGTATGCAGTGCTTAACTATTTTGTTATCCATTGCTTTCGTTATCTGCCCAGATTCCTGATCCTAAAAAGGATTAAGCTAATTTTAGATGATTTTGCTGTTGAAGCGCGGTGATTTTGAATTGTTTAATTTGTTTGTTCTTATGACTTTTTTTAAAAGTTATCCAGTAAAAATGAGGGCCTGTTTGTACCAAATTTAAGCCTACTCAAAATATCTTTTTGTGGTTTTTTTTTTTTCTGTTGATTTTTAAAAAAACAGAGGTCCAGAAAGCACTTCTTCAGGATACAGAATGCTTCAGTTACACTTCATGTTACATGACACAGATCATTCAGCATTTTGCTAGAATGAAGCATTACCAAGTCCCATGGAAAAGAAAATTCCTTGGGATTAAGAGCAGTGTGTTTTTCAATAAAAGTTTAATCCTAAACAGATCATTCAAATGGAGTGTAATAAAGACTACTACAGCTAATGAAAAGATTTTGTTCAGCTCAGTGGGCCCTCAAACAGGCAGACATAATATGCTTGCCCTTGCTAAGAGCGTTCACTGAGCTGTGTTTCCTTTCCTAGACTGGAAATTAGATTCCCTTTTCAACTATCTGTATAGAAAAACTCAAACTACTCAAGAAGATCATGTGGGAGCCCCTGTGCTTAGAAGAAGGAGCTGCATTTGAATAAAAGATACTTCCCAGCTTCACGTCCAGCTTCTTAGCAGTGGTCAAAATAAGTGTCCTTACCAAACTTTCGAGCTGAAGCCCTACAGCAGACTGTCTGTGTCCACTGCACACACTGCCGTGCTGCAACGAGGGACTGTACATGTGTGTGCACGTGTTTGCGCCGGGGAGCAGGTGTATTAAGCCACCCAAGTTTATACACCTGAGATTGGAAATGTTTTGTTTTTTTTTTATCATTTTTCGTCTGTGCTCCAGTCCTGGTTTCAAATTCAAATCCTGTCCGGACTTAAAATCCTTTGTTCTTATCTTACCTACTTTGAAGGCTCTGGACCTGATTTGGGCAGGCTCCAGCACCGTCAGCTGTCTGTGGACCACACTTCAATTGGTACATTTTTATCTAGAGGACGTTTGAGAGAAGTCTGCTGACTTCCAAGGCCATTTCCTAAGGACCAGGGCTCAGCAAGAAGCGAGCAGATGCACAGGAGCAAATTGATCAGAGGCACAGTCACCCAAGTATCAGGGATGAGGGTAAAATAGGGATCTGGCACCACAGCATAATTTGCTCTCTTTGTTTTGTTTTGTCTTCTGCTCTTTCTCCTCCTTACTTCTTCACTTTTAGTATGAAAGTGGCCAAGGTCATTTATGCTCCAAATTTCTTTTCTCGTGCTGAAACTGGCAGTGAATGCCGTAAGTTTTCCTGAAGGAAAACCTTTCTTTAAAGGTGCCACATGCTACAGTTTCTCTCCAGGAGCATGGGATAGGGAGACAAAACTCTGTTAGTAACCCTTTTGCTACGTTACCTTTCCTTAAAATGCCAGCAACTGAGCTTCCACAGAGAGAACAACAAATATTGAGAGAGGAATGTGAAGGACATTATGAAAGGAGAAACCAAGAAAGGGGTTCTGCTCAGACAAGTTTCTCAGGAAAGCTGACGTAATATGTACTGTAGAAAATCCTAGCAGTTGACATAACTAACTTTCTTTCTGTGGATCCCAGCAAGCTGGGAGAAACAAAATGTACATCTGGGAATACAACTGAGCAGACTGTTTTGTCCAAAAGAAATATAGTAGGTGTAAAACTTCTTTTCAAAAGATGTCATTGAAGTTTAATTGAGAAGTGTCCTTTTAATTAAGGCTGAGCGAGTGGATGAAAGTCTCATTTCTGTTGGGGCTGTTCATGGTGATACTGTAACATTAACTCCCACACCATGGGAGTACCCAAGAGGCTGCTGTTGGGATGCCATGGCATGCAGTTCTGTAGCAAGCATTCAGTCCAATTCCTAGAGTTTAGCAAACGTTTAACAAGCTTTTTAGCAGCTGTCTCGAAAATTGCCTGACTTTGTATTGGCTGGCTTGCACATATTTCAGCCTGCTTTCCTTTGTAAATTACTGTTCTCAGCACTTGTGTTGTACTCCTGTCCACATCTGTGTATATATAGTTTGGGAATCTCCCTCCCTGACAGAGACATGCAAAGTCTTTGAGATACTGAAGATACTAGAATTTTGTGGCAGCAAGTGGCTGGATACTAAAGGACTTCTGGATGTTCTCAGCAGGGGAGAGGCTGCAGGGAACTGTGGTCTCTGTCAGCCTTGGAAACTCCAAAAGACCCAAATCTGGAGGATATCAGGTGTTCTTATTCCACTTTTCACAAAGGTTGAGGGTTGGTTGCAGCTTGAAATGCTTCATCTTTAAAAACGCTAGCTCCTCTACTTTGTTTCTCCTGGTGTATATATAGCAAAATACTGCGTGTGCAGAGACTGATAAACAGAGAGTGCCATTGGAAGTGCCGTTTTCAGGTAGCCTAGTTCATAAAAATTGGATAAACTGGCAAATAAAACATTGCAGCACACGGACTGTTATGAATTGATTCAACATTACGAACAGAGGAAGAACTGTACAGAAGGAATGTCAATTATGAAAATTATATTTAGTTATAAGGCTGACATACACGGTCTGTCACCTCCTTTTTACAAATAGTGTTAGCGTGGCAGGAATGATTTCACGCTAAAGAGTGTGTGGTTCTTTTCATAAGGTTTTTGTGGATAAGACTGGAGAAAGCTGCAGGAGATCCCTAATATTTTTGATAGCACTACTGTCACGTCAAAATATCATGTGCCAACTTCTTGCTTTGTTGTAACTTGGTTATAAGGAAAACTCAGGCAGTAGGACCGACAGTGCTAGGTGTTGTCTTGGAGTGGAATATTGAGTGACCATGTTGAATTCTTGGGAGTGTTTGAATATTCTTCCTTTGTCTCTGAGGCATACCCACTTCTCTGCATTTTCTCTTCTGTTCTAGGTGGAGTCTGGATAAGACCTATCAAGGGAGCTTCTTGGCTTTGGGACTACCTAGTGATAGTGATCTTCAGCCACAGTTTTAGAGGAGTGGCACCAAAAAGCCAGTTGTTATGCTGAGTGCTTTACAGGACAAGTAACATTCCCTGCTTCCTCAGCTGCCTGAAAATCAAGCCATAGATACTGAGCTTCAGTTTGAATAGGGTAAGTCAGAAACCTACATACATTGCATGATTGAGTTTAAAATATCAGCCTATCATACAACTGTTATCAGCCTATCATACAACTGTTTGAAACAAAGCCAGGGGAAAAATCACTAGAGCACAATGTTGTGTCGAGGACACTGGCACAATCTCTCCCTGTTGCATTACAACTACAGTAAATGAGGTCTCGTTAGTGCTGTACTGATGTTGGGTTGCATTTCCAGAACTTCCCAAGTTACAGCAGTGCTGAGGCTGGAAAACTGCAGCACATCCACATTTAAGCTGACTAGTTACTCAAGAGAATAAAGTAGCAGCCTACCTTTTTATTTTGCTAGGTTAAAAACCCGAAGATCAGAAAGACGTCAAAGTAACAACTCTGTATCCCTAAAGATACAGTCTTCAGAAAGGTTATTATATACCAAATGAGACAGTAACCTTTCAAAAACCTCTCTATCTGGGATACAGTATTCCTAAAGCATCCCTTAAAGTTACTGTATCCCCAAAGATAAAGTAACCTTTCAAACCCCTCAATTTAGATTGTCCTTGTGATTTGCTGGGCTCTGTTTAAGAAGAGTTTTCCCCATCTAAGATCTTGGTGGCTCCAGTGATGGTGGAGGAGGAACAGTGTAGCAGGCTGCTCTCCTTTTGCATGGAGATGAAAACCAGGCTCCTGTGAGCCTTTAGGCTGGCATTTGATAAAACTTTGTTCCTTTGCCATTCCCACTAAATCCTCTCTGGTGTCACACTCACGTAGGAAGCCCTTTTCCTTTCCCACTCAAACCCCATGCATACTGTTGTTTCCTTTCAGAAGTCCATTTGTGGCTTGAAAAGCTCATATCAGATACAAAGCTATTTAAATCTCTCATGATTCCTTATGTTTGTTCTTTTGACATCTAGGCATAGCTGCTAAGAGTCTGAGAAGGGTTACTGCTTCTGTTTGAATTTCTTCCCCTCTCCACCCTTAAACCAGATGACATTTTTAACTTTTAACTGTGTAGAGGGGAGCATTTTAAACACTAGGTCTCAGAGAAATGGGACATGATGTGACTGTACCTTTAGGTGCTGCAAACAGCCAAAATCTCCATATTAAAAATAAAATAAAACAACTTTTTTGGTTTAAAGTGTGATCAATCCCTCAAAAAAGCTGCATGAAATCCATTTTCTGGTTGATGAAACGTATGCCTGCCTAGTTTGCTTCCTATTAGGTTATTAACACTCGCTGCATCTGTAACTGCTGGTTATCAAAGAAAGGACTTAACTCTCTGCCAGAGCCCTGTGACTAATTAAAACATTGCCTTTAACATTTAACGAGAAAGTTGGTGCTTTCACCAGTAAACTGGTCTAGACTCCTAATCCCCTAAAGCACAAATGGCACATAGTGCATCATAGTTAGCAACCAAGGATTTGAGAAAAACACACAGTCAGAGAAGCACAGCCTGTTGCATAATTTAAAAATGATTAGTCGATTTCTTCTTACTTTCTCCACCACTATTGGATGTTATGCATGCTAACCAGTATTCCCCTCTCAGCAAGGCATCCAGACCTTGTAGGGCCAGTTTTTTCTCCCAGTAAGACCTTTGCATCATAAAACATGCCAGACAGAACATGCCCAGGGGAGAATCCCATGCTTACAGGAACTTTCAAGCCTTTTCAACCATTTGTTTGACTAGCTGCTTGTCTTGGGTGGAGGAGAATGGCCTGTTAGAAAGTGATGGCCAACATAAATGGAGAAGAACAAATAAGACAATTGAGGGTGTGTCTAATGGGTTCCAATATCCAGGACAAGAAAGGAAATTTAGCTCCTCACCTGCACCAGACTTGGGTAAATTTTAGCTCTGTTAGACGATTCTGCCGTCTTGGAAATGGGAATGGGTTTACACTGAAGAAGCCTCACATTAGGAGAGTAATGTTTCGGATACTGTGGGCCCTCATTACTAATTTTATAAAGATTAAAAAAAAAAATACCACAAGCTGTTTCACAATGCATTTACAGAAAGAATGGTAAGAGCAGTGAGTAGTGCATTTTATCCCAAATGGTTCATTTAACAGATATTAAATATGCATCTGAACACTGTCACTTTGAGGTACATTCCTAATCTGACTTTCCCTCTGCTTACAGCAGTATAAATAAGAATTATTCTATTGAAGTTAGCAAAGTCATTACCTGGTATTAAAATTGGAAGAGTCTTGCTTTTTACCTTTACACCAAATCCCATTCAATTCAGTAGGAATACAACAGTACATTTAAGTGGAATACAAGAACAGAGACAATTGGAAAATCTGTGTCCTAAATTCAGTGTAGGGTTCTGGAGTGGAATTTCCATCTGAGTACTCTTGAACATTACAGCATAAATACTCTTTTCCTGCACTGTAATCTAGTTTATTTTCCCCAGAAAGAAATATATTTTGGTTTTTTTTTTCAGAGGCCATATAAAACACATGGTTGTCTCCTGAGCAAATATCTCAAAGACCATAGCTTACACATTGTAAAAAAACAAATGACGTCTGTTTTGAAGCTATCTGCAGGTTTTTAGTCTATCGTCAGCATTTTTATTCCATACCAGTTTTCTGCACAGGGCAAAATATACACCCTTAGAAGGGTAACAACTGTGATAAGTTGTTAAAAACAGATTATCTCGGAAAGCAATTTTTTCCATTATGAAAGTGGCTTGTCATATATTAGTGAAATGAATTAGTCACTTAGCACACCTTTCACAACCTCAAAAGAATTAGATTATGGCCTATAAATTCCCCTGTGTGACAGGAGCTGCTCTTCTCTTTGTACATACAACACTATCACTCCACAGTTTCTGATTATGTTTTACTCATATGGAACCATAAATCACTCATAAATCAGTCCAAAGACTAAAACTAACCAAACCAGTTCATATTTCTCACATGAGATATTCCATTTGCACACCTTTCCAGACTGAACATTTTTTGTTGGGATATACAAGGATTCCAGGTACATGATGGTCCATGGAGAAAAGGTGACAGCATGACATCTGGAAGATGTATGCATGGGGAAGGGAGGAAAGTAGGAAAGCAACAGGGAAAGAAAGGGACATTTGCTTTTGATCCTTTCAGTTGAAGAAAGTCAACTGAACAATAGCTACCCAATTCATCCTTTGATTTATCCCTGTTTTCTGGAACTGTTCAGAGTAGAGAAGGCTGAAATGGCATCTCATCAATGTATGTGAAGGAAGAGTGTGAAGAAGAGGGACCCAGGCTCTTTCCAGCAGTGCCCAGAGATGGGACCAGAGACCATGGGCACAAACTGAAACACAGAAGTCACAGTCTGAACAGCAGGAAACATTTTTTCACTGCGAGGTTGACTAAGTGTTGGCACAGGTTGCCCAGGGAGGTTGTGGAGTCTCCATCCTTGGAGATACTCAAAACCTGGACAACCATCTGTAGGCAACCCAATTTGAGCAAGGATATTGGAAAAAGTGACCTCCAGAGAACCCTTGACCTCAGCCCTGGTATGATACTGTGATGCCACTTTGGTCTCCTGTCAGTGAGGGGTGATGCCACTCGTTTGCTTGGTGGCTCCCTTCAATCAGGAACAGCAAATTTTTTTAGAAATGCAGAGGGTGCTCCAGCAGCCAGGAGCTCTGGAAGGGACCCCAACAAGCACTTAAAGTTTGCAGTGGGAAGGAGCGAAATGCTTGTGGGGTCAGGATAGGCAACTTTGCATCTGGCAAATAATTAGAAACAAAGGAGGAGCTCAAGAATCATGTGTTACTTCCACTTCAATCGCTCAGAGAAACATTCCTATCCTTTTTGTTTCGGAGAGGGAGAACTGTGACGTAACTAATAAATATATTTTAAGTATCAACTGATTACTACAGCTTTGTGCCAGAGGCATTGGGAGCACAGGAGGGATGCTGAGAACTACTCTGAAAGGACTTGTCATGTGCAAAAGTACAGAGAGAAATCTTGATGCCTGAGTTTTATGACATTTGATTCCAGTGAAGACTACACTCAGGCCTCGGTGGTTTCTGGGGTTGTCATCACGTTTTCCATACTGATTTACTGAATCATTCTCCTGCACAGGATGAAGATAAGCACATCAAAGGGGGCTTAGGTCCAGGGGCTTTACAGTACCAGTTGCTGGTGCCTACAACACTTAGCTCTGGCCATAGACAGGAATCCTAGACTTTAGGGCTGCACTGTGATCACGCTGGGGGAAATATAGAAAAAAAGGGTCACACACCTCCCTCTGTCTCCTTTGACTAGCTTGTCTTCTTGAATGCCAGCTCTCCTACATGCTAAAAAAATAGCTGAACTGGACTTAAGGCAGTGCAGGGCAGCAGAAAACTTTAGAAGGCAAGTTCAGTGCCAGGTTCAACACTGCCTTTTCTCAGAATGTCACTCCCTGGAACAGCTTCCCACGAGCAGGGCAAGATAAGGTGGCGGTTTCTTTCTTTAGTGAATTTTGCAAAAGGATGGGACAGAGGAGGCTGAAACTTTCGAAAACAAGAACTCTGTAATGATGAGTTTGAGCAAAAATGCAGCACTTTGAAATCATACCTGGCACATTAGGGCAAGATATAAAAGTGCAAATGCAGCTTTAATGTAGAAGTAGCAAGTTTCAAACTGAAAATAGAACATCTTGCCAAGTTACAAAGAAGGCATTTTTTCATACTCTGCAGTAGGCAACCCTGTTATTAAATAATAATGCCTTCATCTCTTGGTGGTGCTGTTGGAAGTGGAAAAGGAGCTCTTTTCACATCTTTTCTAGTCTGTCTCTGCTTCTAGTAAATGCAAGTGCCTGGGTTTCTCTATCAGGGACCTCAGAGAAGCACTGCTGGGGTTAACATATTGTTTTGCCCAGGCAGATACAAGTGTATTGCAGAAGGCACTATGCAAATAGTGTTCACAGAGTTTATAATTTCCTGTTGGAACAGCAAAGAAAAGAAGGTCATTGATTCAAACCAGAGAATACAAATGATTTCCTGCCCACAAAGCTGCCAAATGCTTGGAGTTATTGATTTTTTT